ACCATTTCCAGGATGGATGCCTTCCAAAACAAATAACTTTCTTGTCTTATGGAGAACCTTTGGGCATAATTTTGTCCTCTTTGGCTCTTTCCTTTTCTCTCCTCACTGCTTTGGTCCTTGGAATATTCCTGAAGTACATGGATACTCCCATAGTCAAGGCCAACAACTGGGACCTCACCTACACTCTCCTCATCTCCCTCTTGCTTTCCTTCCTTTGTGTTTTGCTATTCATTGGCCAGCCTGGAGCACTGACATGCCTCCTGCGACAAACTGCTTTTGGCATGATCTTCTCTGTAGCAGTTTCTTGCATATTAGCCAAAACCATCATTGTGGTTCTGGCTTTCATGGCCACCAAGCCAGGATCCAAGATGAGGAGATGGGTAGGGAAACCATTGTCCAACACCATTGTCCTTTCCTGCTTTCTTATTCAAGCCACCATTTGTACTGTGTGGCTGGCAACTTCTCCCCCATTCCCTGATTTAGACATGCATACAATGATCCAAGAAATGGTTTTGCTCTGTAATGAGGGGTCAGTCCTTATGTTTTATTTTGTGCTGGGCTACATGGGCTTCTTGGCTTCTGTCAGCTTTATTGTGGCTTTTCTTGCTCGAAGGTTGCCTGACAGGTTTAATGAAGCCAAGTTCATTACATTCAGCATGCTGGTCTTTTGCAGTGTTTGGCTGTCCTTTGTCCCAACCTACCTGAGCACAAAAGGAAAATACATGGTGGCTGTGGAGATCTTCTCCATCTTGGCCTCCAGTTTGGGCTTACTGGGGTGCATCTTTTTTCCCAAATGCTATATTATTTTACTGAGGCCTGAACTGAATACCAAGGGACAGTTAATTAGAAAAACAAAGAATCAGTCTAGCTGATAGAAAAATACAAAATGAGAACACGAAGATCACCCCTTACATATTTTTAATCTTTCTCAGTTGCAATATAATAAAGCATGTTTTTATTTCTTTGCTTTCAGCCTTTTAATATTGCACACAGGTCACATTCTAGATTTAAATTTCCACCAGCAAATAAATCACTTCAGTTGTAATCTATAACAGTCTCAAAAGTAATTAATGAAAGGGAGGTTTTACCTATGGCTGACCCCCAGTACTTTTATGTACTGTTTGGGCGTGATGAAGGTTCCTCTGCTGTGGGTCACTCACCCCCATCTGGTTTGCCCAATATAGCTTTCCCAGGGAATGAAAGGTGCACCCCTGTTCTCTCTGTTTTCCCAGACAGAATGTGATAACCAAGTTGGCCTGGCTATCATTTTTCACCACATTATTATCTCTGTTGAAAGACTGTTGACAGGAGATGTTTAGTCCACCCTCTTCTTCCTTGGAAATCCTGCTAAGACCCAGTATAACTTTTCCTACCTACTAAGTAAGACCACCTGAGGCTTTGGCTATGATAAAGAAAACATGATTTTCTTTTGAAATCTGATAGAAAACCTACAATTCAGAACTGATCATTAGCTCCCGTCCCATCTGATTATCAAATTAATCATAATCACTGCTGCTGCTTCTCCTCATCCCAGGGGTGTTTCAGAAGCCACATAAACACAATGAACTAAAAGTGGAGGTGCCCTTCAGAGCGCATGCTAGATCCAAGGCTCTCTCAGACTGGTCACTGATTTCTTTACACAGAGCAGATCCATTTTTGTGTGCGCATTCCAGTGAGACTTTCTGAAGCAAGAACATTTGAATGATAATGTGCAGGGTTCCTATTGCTCTATGTTCTATTAGAGATCCACTTCCAATTCTTCACCAATACTATCAATCTGGGGACTTCATCATTGGTGGCATTATGTCTCAAATCTATATAGCTTCAAGTATATTAACCTTCCACAAACCTCCCTCTCCTGAATTATTTGATGACATATTGTAAGGAATTGTGGATTTTTAAAATTTTGTATATGCATAGATATTTAAATTGTTTTTAAAATCCTTCATGAGTATATGTCTGCATTTGATATGTGGTGATTTAAGAAGATGGTAATGATTCCCACTTGTACTTCTCTGTACTTCAGATGCTTCTGATGGGCTGGGGAAGTTCTCAAAATGCTTTGTGCAAGATCTGCCAACCAATAAACAGGATTATTCACTTTCACTTCACTTAGGTTTTCAGGCTATTTCCCATGGAATACTTTGGATAGTGAAAATCCATTTTGGCTTTTCTCAAACCTGCCACAAATGGTTAATCTCTCATATTTGGAAGTGATCTTCTTATCAGCTTTCGATGTTGCCTGTATTACTTGGTGATCAGGCACCGTCAACTCAATTAAACAGACTATTATTATCACCACCACCATCATCAGTTGCAGTATGGTTGCCAGGAATAGCTGCTTACTTTCTGCAAACAAAAAGTACATTCCTACTTGAAATATGGCCCTAAATCACATTCTGTTGTGGTATATCCACAGAAGGTCCACATACCAATATGACATTGCATTGGTAGATTTGTTTTCTCATTACCAAATAATTACAGTATCAGAGTCATAACAGAGTCATAAAATAGTAACAAAAAAACTTAGGTGTTTTGAGATTTCTCTCCTGCATGCTACATATTTCAATGGATTAAATCCTTATTCATTCAAAGGAGTTTGAATCCACATTCATTCATTCATGTAAGTTTTGTGCGATTTTTTGAAATGCACATAATATAAACACTTTTCCCTTTCTGAGTTTTTCCAGAAAGCAATAGTAAGGGAAAGATGAGTGTTTTGCAAGCATCTGTACAAAGAGAGATTACTTCTTGTTGTTTAGTTGTTTAGTCGTGTCCGACTCTTCGTGACCCTATGGACCAGAGCACACCAGGCACTCCTGTCTTCTACTGCCTCCCGCAGTCTGGTCAGACTCATGTTTGTAGCTTCGAGAACACTGTCTAACCATCTCGTCCTCTGTCGTCCCCTTCTCCTTGTGCCCTCAATCTTTCCCAACATCAGGATCTTTTCCAGGGAGTCTTCTCTTCTCATGAGGTGGCCAAAGTATTGGAGCCTCAGCTTCACGATCTGTCCTTCCAGTGAGCACCCAGAGCTAATTTCCTTAAGAATGGATGCGTTTGATCTTCTTGCAGTCCATGGGACTCTCAAGAGTCTCCTTCAGCACCATAATTCAAAAGCATCAATTCTTCGGCGATCAGCCTTCTTTATGGTCCAGCTCTCACTTCCATACACCACTGCTGGGAAAACCATGGCTTTAACTATACGGACCTTTGTTGGCAATGTGATGTCTCTGCTTTTTAAGATGCTGTCTAGGTTTGCCATCACCTTTCTCCCAAGGAGAAGACGTCTTTTAATTTCGTGACTGCTGTCACCATCTGCAGTGATCATGGAGCCCAAGAAAGTAAAATCTCTCACTGCCTCCATTTCTTCCCCTTCTATTTGCCAGGAGGTGATGCGACCAGTGGCCATGATCTTCGTTTTTTTGATGTTGAGCTTCAGACCATATTTTGCGCTCTCCTCTTTCACCCTCATTAAAAGGTTCTTTAATTCTTCCTCACTTTCTGCCATCAAGGCTGTGTCATCTGCATATCTGAGGTTGTTGATATTTCTTCCGGCGAGCTTAATTCCAGCTTGGGATTCATCCAGCCCAGCCTTTCGCATGATGAATTCTGCATATAAGTTGAATAAGCAGGGAGACAATATACAGACTTGCCGTACTGCTTTCCCAATTTTGAACCAATCAGTTGTTCCATATCCAGTTCTAACTGTAGCTTCTTGTCCCACATAGAGATTTCTCAGGAGACAGCTGAGGTGATCAGGCACCCCCATTTCTTTAAGAACTTGCCATAGTTTGCTGTGGTCAACATAGTCAAAGGCTTTTGCATAGTCAATGAAGCAGAAGTAGATGTCTTTCTGGAACTCTCTAGCTTTCTCCATAATAGAGATTACTTAAGCTCATTCAAAACCCTACCCACATGCCAACAAATCTGGACAAATTTCATTGGTAGATTTGTTTTCTCATTTCCAAACTATGTGGGTATTAGAGTCATGTTTGACCAATAAATAGTAAAAAAAAACCCCAACCATTAGGTGTTTGAGATTTCTCGCATGCATGCTTCATTTTTCAGTGGATTAAATTCACATTCATTCAATGGAATTTGAATTCATATTCATTCATTCATGCCAGTTTTGTGTGATTTTTGACATGTACAAAATATAAACACTTTTCCCTTTCTGAGCTTTTCAGACAACAATAGTAAGGGGAAAGGTGAGTGTTTTGCAGGCATATGTACAAAGAGATGCTACTTAACAGCATTCAAAGCCATGCCAAGAGATGACTCTACAAGGAGTCACATCCCTACCTACATGCCAACCTATCTGGACAAATTTCCTTGGCCTGTGGGTATGCAATTGATTTCTCTAAACATGCACTGTTATACAATATGTAACTCTCCTTACAGGCCAATGACACAACTCTACCAGCATATTCTGGCCTTGGCATTTGCTGTGAGGGAGATCAATGAAAACCCACATCTCCTTCCCAATATCACACTGGGCTTCCACATCTATAATAGCCATTTCATTGCCAGATGGACCTATCAAGCCTCACTAGCAGTTCTCTCCAGGAAAAGCAGATTTGTTCCTAATTACAATTATGAAGCTGAGAACATTCCCATAGCTGTCATTGGGGGATCAAACTCAGATTTACGTCTCCAGATGGCCACCATCCTTCATATGTACAAGATGCCCCAGGTAACAAATTTGCATTGAGCATCGGCAAAGGTGAAAATGTGTACAATCATCTTTGATGATATCTTTCAGCTTGAATGTTGATACGTGAAATGTTGTGTACTTCACCAACTTTAAAAATTGGAGGTGCATCATAGATCTCAAGGACAAAACAATTATGGCCTCAAGAGAATAGGGATTCCTGATACTGCCTGAAGCAGTTTTTTAAGAAGTGGTGATAGGTCATAGCACAATTCGCTACCACTTTTCTTTTCCATTTTATCTCACCATTTGCTGTCCTTACTTTTAGCTCATCTATGGCTCTTCTCCCATGATTGGAAACAATGTACAAACTCTTTTCTCCCACTGGATGTTCCCAGATGGGACTCATCAGTACAGTGGGATACTCCAGCTTTTGCTGCATTTCAATTGGATGTGGATTGGGGTACTTTCTAAGAATGATGATACTGGAGAGCAATTTGTACAAAATGTACTTCCCATGTTTGCCCAGAGGGGTATCTGCTTTGATTTTATAGGAAGATTTCCTAAACTGAAGTTTTCTGGAGAGCTCAGTGAAATGGTGGCTGATGGTTCTGAAACAATCCGTGTTATTATGGGAAGCACTGCCAATGTTGTGGTTGTTAATGGTGAAATTGATACCATTATGGTATTGAGAATGATGCCAAAGGTTGCAGAAATACACGATATACTAATGAATGCCACATCAAAAGTCTGGATAATGACTGCACAGATGGAATTCACCTCATTCCCCTTTCAGAGGAGTTGGGAAATTGATTTCCTCCATGGTGCTCTCTCCTTGGCAGTTTCCTCAAAGGAACCTGCAGGATTCCAGAAATTTGTTCAAATGAGAAACCCTGCCTCAGAAAGAGACGACAGCTTTCTCCGGGTTTTTTGGGAACAGGCATTCATCTGTTCTTTCTCCAATGCTTCATTAAATAAGGAACTTGAGGAATCATGCACTGGGGAAGAGAAGGTTGACAGCCTTCCTGGTTCCGTTTTTGAAATGAGCATGACTGCCCAAAGCTACAGTGTCTACAATGCTCTATATACTGTGGCACATGCTTTGCATGCCATGCAATGCTCCAGGTTCAAAATTGGAGCAATGGCAAATGGAATGACATTGGACTATCTGAACCAAGAAACATGGCAGGTACAATTCTGATCCCATTAATGAAAAAGTTTTACCTTATTTTTCCATGTATAAGAGGCCCCCATGTATAAGACTACCCTTACTTTATTGAATCCCAAATTAAGAAAACCAAACCCAAAATAGAAGTGACAATCTGGATGATCTGTGGTCGCCAATTTGTCCTTTGGGTGCCAATCGCCTTCAAAGTTTCCAGCATGAGGTGCAGGGAGTGCAACGTGGTGCAGAAGCAACGGCAGCAGCTGGGGCACCTCATGTTCCTCCTCAGTGGCAGCTGCTCCTGCGGGGAAGCAAGAAGAAGGACACTCCCAAGCAGGATACTGAGGAAGAGCTGGAGGAAGGCAGAGCCCAAATGCGCCAGGCCATGCCATTGAGCAAACTGAGCTGAGAAAGGTGTTCAGCGGACTGGGGACAGGGTGGGGGTTTGAGAGAGGGGAAAGAAAAAGGGCAAGGAGAGGTAGCTGAGGCAGCTCTCAGCAGCAGTGCTGGCAGCTGCTCTTGCTCTGGTGGTCGAGCCAGTGGGAGCTTCAGGAGGTGAGCCAGTCGCCAGCATGCAACCCGGAGGGGGAAGAGAAAGGGGGGACGGCAGCAGGAGGGACTGCCTCAGCCCGCCCAAGCCAAAATCCAGGACATATGCCTAAATATTTTTTTTAAATCCCCCGGATGCCCATGTTCCATGTACAAGACGACCCCCAATTTTTAATTATTATTTTTTTAATCAAAAGACCTCGTATTATACAGGGGAAAATATGGAATATTTTTTTCTTGCACTCAGCTAAAAGTGGCCTCTAGTTTAGCAGATCTTTTGTTGCTGAGAAAATATAATTCCATCCAACTTAATGGATGGAATATTGTTTTTATTCTACAGTGCCATTCCTATCCTTGGTGCCACTATGTCTGATTAGGTTGTTAGGAATTCTGCAAGTTATTGTTCTCATGCTACACTTACACACCTTTTAGGAAGTTTTGCTACTGACCCTAGCTGTTATATTCTGGATTATGTTATGTTTTTATAGATTATGTCTGAATAGGATGAGAGTGTCGGAGATACGTGCAAATGTATATGTGAACCCGGTCTTTGGGTGGGCGTTTGATTTTCGTTGTTGTGTATACTGTGTATATACGGACAATGACAATAAATTTATCTATCTATCATCTATCTATCTATCTATCTATCTATCTATCATCTATCTATCTATCTATCTATCTAATCTATTCCAGAATTTGGCACCCCAATATTAAAACTGGCAATTCCCTAAACTGTATCCTCACTGAGCACATTTATTACTAGTGAGGTCAGTCGTCATATATGCAAGGAACTAAAGGTTTCTCTCTCTATGAATGTTCCAGAATGACTCTCTTAATTTTTGTACATTCCAGTTTGACACTGGGGGTCATGTCCAATTCACCTTAAAGCAGTTTCTACTGGTTGTCTCCAGTTCCTCCTATATGTGTCACTGGTTCCTTCATTTCTCTCCACTCTTTCCTCAGTCTCCCTCTCCACGCAAAATTCTCAGATTTTGCACCGGTATGAAATTTACGGCATGTAGTGCCTTAAAAGAAAACATTATGAAAATGATGTACAGGTGGTACATGACCCCAGTCAAACTTGCAAAGATATATCATCTGTCTGACAATAAATGTTGGAAATGTAAGGAGGCTGAAGGAACTTTCTTTCATCTCTGGTGGACTTGCCCGAGGGTGAAGGCTTTCTGGGAAATGATTTATAACGAGTTGAAAAAGGTATTCAAGTATACCTTTCATAAGAAACCAGAGGCCTTCCTCCTGGGCATTGTAGGCCAGAGAGTGCCAAAGAAAGATAGAACTTTCTTCTTATATGCAACTACAGCAGCAAGAATCCTTATAGCCAAATACTGGAAGGCACAGGAGTTACCCACGCTGGAAGAGTGGCATACGCAACTGATGGACTATATGGAATTGGCTGAAATGACTGGCAGAATCCGAGACCTGGGAGAAGAGGCAGTGGAAGAGGACTGGAAAAAATTTAAGGAGTATTTACAAAAACATTATAAGTTATATGAATGTTGAAAATTTGCTAAGTTTTGAGAAAAACATGCTTCCGTATTGAGATTCGGAAATGATTGAAATTAAGTTATGATTGAGAAAAGTTCAAACTTCAGAGTAAATAATTAGATGAAAGTACAAAAACACATGAAACAAGGTATTAATTTGCTGTTCACATTTATTGTAAAGAATGCAGGGATGGAGGATGTGGGGAAGTCCAGTAGATGATGAAAAAAAGATTTGGAAAAATGAATTTTCTTATATTTAAATTTTCTTTTTTCTTGTAAAACTGCTTTTGTTGTGTCATGGACGATGTATTCTGACCTTGGAAAATAAAGCAATAAAAAAATTCTTTAAAAAAAAAAAAAAAAAACAAAATTCTCAGATTTTGCTTCTCCCAAACAATCCTGAGATGGCCATTTGTGGGCCCCTAACTTCTAAGCCCATGCTTAGGATTCCAAGCTGATCTCATTCCTACTTAGCAACACAAACTCTTCATGTGAGTTCTGTGCATCTAAAAATGCCTTCCAGACCCCAACCATGTTTCCCCTTGTCAGCTTGCCTGAGACACATTCCTTAAGGAAGAGATTAAGGTAGGTGTCTACATTCTCTGCACTTCCCTCTTCACCTAGCTGAAACACTATCCCACATCACAAGCCAGCAGTGCACATCACATTGGACATTAGTTTTGAGCACATAGGTATGGTTTAGGAGAAGCAGCCTAGAGCAGAGAGGCCTGGAGAGAACATATATTCACAGACATCTCTGCGTTTGGTGTTGACAATGGTGTGGAAGTGAGTTGGCAGACTAAACTTAATTGGGACAAGACCAATGCAAAGCCTGAAACTATTATTTTCTTGTATTTATGTGCAGACACCTTTGTGTGTTTAATGAGCACTTACAGTTCCCAACCCTAACCCTGCGGGAAGCCATCCAATTAGACTTTAATTTGATTCTGACCTGTTTTTAATTAATTATTGTTTGATTTTATACCTATGTTATATATTTGATGTTAGACAGCCTGAGCCCGACTTTGGCCAGGGAGGGCAGGATATAAATTAAAGTTTTTTATTATTATTTATTATTTATTATTATTTAGGATAGCCCTATTGGTCAGTTGATAAAGTTTAAATAAATTATAAACCAAAGGTCTCAGAAGTGAACTGTAATCTCAATTATCTAGTAAGGAATCCTTTTGTAGATCTTCACTATAGTTCCCTACCCCAAATTTAGCTCCAACACTTTCTGAGAAGTGTCTCCTTCAACAATAGTGCAGGAGAAGAAATTTCCTTTGACCAAAAGGGAGCATTAGTAGCTGGCTTTGATATTATCAACTGGGTCACATTCCCAAATGAGTCCTTTCTTAGAGTCAAAGTTGGAAAAGTGGACCCACAGATTCTCCAAGAAAGGGGGCTCAGAATTCATGATGATGCCATCATATGGCCCAGCAACTTCAACCAGGTAAGTCCCATTTTATAGTATCTTCCGTCCTTTCCTCAATGTTAAATCTGATGTTTCCTCAAGTCTTGTCTAGATTTGGTAGAACATCCATATAGACTTGGTTAGAAGACCCATTGCCATTGCACTTATCTGGAGCCATTTCACCAGCCTAAATAACCCTCCAAAGCAAAAAAAATCCTTCCAGTAGCACCTTAAAAAGCAGTTATTGAAAACATGGCAGGGAACATTGGGAGATGAACAAACAGCTGAAAACCCCTGGGAACATGAATTTATGCACTGAAATGCATACTTGAATCAAAATAATTAAGCCGAATAATGACTGAATAATTACTATATTAGTAATATAATTTTAAAAAGTAATCTTTAAAAAAAGCAGGCATGGAGGATGCCTATAACTGGAGGACCTCCAGTGTTCTGGAAAAAGTTCAAGAAATATTGCTTCATGATTCTGGTCTCTAAGGTAGTGATATTGTAAGATAATGCTCACAGGAATGCAACATGCAAATTAATATGTTTAGAACCTGACCAAGCAAAGGTCACCATCGAAAACAAATATTAATGCTGAAACATATAACCATGGGGGGGGGGAGTTAACACTGGAAGCAAGAAATATTGAATGATTGTATGAAACACAGACAATTAGAACAATCAACACCTGACAGTGTTTTAAACAGACAGGCCATTGAAGCAAGGGGCTAAGGTTATGTTTCTCTCTCTCTCTCTCTTTATATATAATTTTATTTCTAAATTTTTACAATAGACAAAATAAAAATAAAAATACATCACAGACAGTCACTCTCTTATTTCAACTCCACTTCCCTTTTTCTGTGGTACCTTGTTTATATTTTAGTTTATTGCATATGCAAATTATACCAATCTGTTATTTATCCACTATGTCGTCGTTGTCGTCGCCTTCTTCTTCTTCTTCTTCTTCTTCTTCTTCTTCATGTTTTTATTGCACGTTGTTTACATTAACCCTGCTACTGTCTTAATTTGTTTACAATAACTTTGTAAATATACTATAAATAAATTCCATTCTGTCTTAAGAACTTAATCTTCTTGATTTCTTATTCTTCCTGTAAATTTTGCCATTTCTGCATAGTCCATTAGTTTCTGTAACCCTTCTTCTTTTGTTGGGACATTTCCTTCTTCCCATCTTTGGGCATATAACATTCTGGCAGCAGTGGTCACATACATAAATATATTAGGTAACTCTAATCCCATTACAGTGGTAGGTCAGTTTACGAAGAGTCCTGTTAACGAACTATTCGGATTACGAACTCCACAAATCCGGAAGTAGTGTTGCAGTTTGTCAACTTTACCTCGGTCTATGAACGGAAGCCGAGCAGTGGAAGGGCCCCAGCAGTTGGAGGCCTCATTAGGGAAAGCGTGCCTCGGTTTAAGAATGGTTTCGGTTTAAGAACGGACTTCCGAAATGGTTTAAGTTTATAAACCGAAGTACCACTGTATTCCCAAAAGAAAAGCTTAATAAAGGTTAACTTAAACATTTTTTTCAACTCATTATATATTATTTCCCTGTAGGCTTTTGCCTTACTACGAATCCACCACATATGGAAAAAGGTGTCTTCTTTTTCTTTACATTTCCAACAGCTACTAGACTCAGATTTGTACATTTTTGAAAATCTATTGGGTGTTAAGTACTATCTATACATCATTTTAATATAATCTTCCCTCACATTATAAATAGCGGTAAACTTTGTATCATTATTCACAATCACTCCCATGCCTCTATCTCAATATTATAACCAAAATCCATTGGCCAGTATATCATTGAAGATTTCACTTGTTCATCTTTTGTTTCCCATTCTTATACATTTCCAACAAAACATTAACATTACATTATAGGTTTCTCTCTAATTCTCTCTACAAAAAAGGTGCGCTCTGGGGGGAAATGCATTTTCCTATATTATTGTTGTATTTCTAAACTGTGGATTTCACCACCTTTGCTGTGCCAGGGAGATACAATCCCTGAAACTATTATCTTCTTTTATGTACAGACACCACCTCCTTCTGTGTGCAATGAGAATTGCCATTTAGGTTACAGTCGGACCAAGAAGGAAGGAAAGCCTGCTTGTTGCTATGATTGTCTTCCGTGTCCAGAAGGGAAGATCTCAAACCAGAAGGGTAGGAGATAAACTGTGAACCCTTCAAAAGCTATATCAGGATATTGCTTGCTATCACCACTGAGATTTGTATTTGGTGTACAAGTCTGAATAACATGGGAGAGGTGGGATTGGGTAGGAATTTTATCAGAACCAGGCATATTATTTCTGTATTTATTCATAAAAACCACTTGCATAGCACAAATTCATTAAAAATTTCAAATTAGTTTACAACAACAACAAAAAGGCACAGAGACAGACATGCACATACAGACACCAAAAAATATGCAAGTATACAAACAATGGCTCAAATTTCCAATCTTATAGTTAACAGCCAAATGCACTAATCCATTGTGCCAGGGAAGGGTTTAAAAAGCAACATAAGAGCAGATCTCCAGCTAATTCCTATGGAATATATTTTCTTAATTTTCTTAATTGTCTCCAATTAGCATAAAAAAAAGGTTTCAGGTGCCTAAAGTTTACTATAGAATATGCCTTCTGATTCACTATGGAAAGAATATTCCAAAGGACTAGGTCCAATAACAATAAAGATGTGGTCCCAATAACTCAGGATAAACAATCCTCCTATGGATGACCTCAATCATCAAGCTGGAATAGAAGGGTTCGGGCTGTTCCTTTAATAATCTTGACCTGTGTTGAGGGGTCTGTAAATTACGGTAGTAATCTGGATCGGTAATAGAGGACTACCCAGTGTTGGCATGCTAACAAAGGTCTCATGTGTTGTCAGCTATGTACCACCATTAACAGAGGTCAGGCTATCACACTCCCTCGGAATGGAAATCGCTGGCAAACCAGCTAGCCAGATAGTGGATGTTCAGAATAAAAACTCAGACCTGTAGACTGCTGCCTTCTTAACATTGGCCCAGGATGTGGATTGCTTGGCAATCAAAGCTGAATATTACCTCTAAATATGAGGATATCTCTTTTACAACTGTTCTCGGCATCATAATTCAAGGCTCTACAGTACATAAATTCTGCCAAGCATCGCAGAATGGATTTCCACGTATTTAATTCTGTCTTGTCTTTTTCAGACATGGATGTTTGCTTTGAATGTCCTGGGAACCAATATCCAAACCATTTCCAGGATGGATGCCTTCCAAAACAAATAACTTTCTTGTCTTATGGAGAACCTTTGGGCATAATTTTGTCCTCTTTGGCTCTCTCCTTTTCTCTCCTCACTGCTTTGGTCCTTGGAATATTCCTGAAGCACATGGATACTCCTATAGTCAAGGCCAACAACCGGAACCTCACCTACACTCTCCTCGTCTCCCTCTTGCTTTCCTTCCTTTGTGTTTTGCTATTCGTTGGCCAGCCTGGAGCACTGACATGCCTCCTTCGACAAAGTGCTTTTGGTATGATCTTCTCTGTAGCAGTTTCTTGCATATTGGCCAAAACCATCATTGTGGTTCTGGCTTTCATGGCCACCAAGCCAGGCTCCAAGATGAGAAGGTGGGTGGGAAAACCATTGTCCAACTCCATTGTCCTTTCCTGCTTTCTTATTCAAGCCACCATTTGTACTGTGTGGTTGGCAACTTCTCCCCCATTCCCTGATTTAGACATGCATACAATGATCCAAGAAATGGTTCTGCTCTGTAATGAGGGGTCGGTCCTTATGTTTTATTTTGTGTTGGGCTACATGGGCTTCTTGGCTTCTGTCAGCTTTATTGTGGCTTTTCTTGCTCGGAGGTTGCCTGACAGCTTTAATGAAGCCAAGTTCATTACATTCAGCATGCTGGTCTTTTGCAGTGTTTGGCTGTCCTTTGTCCCAACCTACCTGAGCACAAAAGGAAAATACATGGTGGCTGTGGAGATCTTCTCCATCTTGGCCTCCAGTTCGGGGTTACTTGGGTGCATCTTTTTCCCCAAATGCTATATCATTTTACTGAGGCCTGAACTGAATACCAAGGGACAGTTAATTAGGACAACAAAGAATCAGTCTAGCTCAATTCAAAAGTCTTTTATTAGTAATGAGTGACATACCCTCCAAGTTCACAGAAAGCTTCTGTTAGAGAATGGGCCATGATTTCCATGTACTCACTTAGGATAATCCCATTAAAGTATTTCATTTTATTATTACAGCTCTTTATTTAATTTTTATACCGCCCTTCATCCAAAGATTACAGAAAAATGCACAACAGAAAAACACAAATGAGAACACAAAGTATATAATAAACATCAGTCAATAACCTGGTTATAGAGAAACATCCTTTTCTTGTGGCTAAAGATATGTAATGAAGTTGCCAGGCAGGCTTCCCTGGGGAGAGCATTTCACAAAAGGAGAGTCATTGCAGTCTTGCACTGTCACTTTCTCGAGGGAAAAGCCTCAGATGATGATAGCAGGGTCCAGATTGGTTCATATGGAGAGATGTGATCCTTGAGGTATTACTATCCTGAGTCATTTAAGGCTTTATAGGTCAAACGGCACTTTTCCCCCAAAGTATCTTAATTGAAAGTTTTCAACATAAAATACAATAAAAACCAATCTAATCTAAAAAAGAAAGAAAGAAGAGTAAAAATAAGAGAATAAAAAGCAAGAAATAAAAAGTTGTCAAGAGTTATAGGTCATTTTTTTTTTAAACAGGACAGGAAAATTGGTTTTCAGGTGGAAAAATCAAAATTAGAGACTGAATTGCTAGAACCCAACACTAAGAACTTGTCAAGAATGTATAACTTGTTGCTGAAATGGAATACACAAGATGAAACAGTTAAATCAGCTATGATTAAGTGGGCACAGGACATTGGTCATAACATTATGTTTGCTGACTGGGAGTGGTTGTGGAACACCGGTATTAAATTCACGGCATGTAATGCCTTAAAGGAAAACATTATGAAAATGACTTACAGGTGGTACATGACCCCAGTCAAGCTAGCAAAAATATACCATTTGCCTGATAACAAGTGTTGGAAATGTAAAGAGACCGAAGGTACTTTTTACCACCTTTGGTGGACATGCCCGAAAATCAAGGCTTTCTGGGAAATGATATATAATGAAATGAAAAAGGTGCTTAAATGTACTTTCTCTAAAAAACCAGAGGCCTTTCTCCTGGGTATTGTCGGCCAATTGGTGTCAAAGAAGGATAGAACTTTCTTTATGTATGCTACAACAGCAGCAAGAATACTCATCGCAAAGTACTGGAAGACACAAGATCTACCCACCCTGGAAGAATGGCAGATGAAAGTGATGGACTATATGACATTGGCGGAAATGACTGGCAGAATCCGTGATCAGGGAAAAGAGACGGCGGAAGAAGAATGGAGAAAATTTAAAAGCTACCTTAAGGACTATTATAAACTTGATGAATGTTAGTATGTCGAGGTTTTTAAGAAAAAAGGGATACAGTGATATAAGATCAGATTATAGAAAAGACTAAGATGACAAAAGTTGGAAAGGAATATTTAGAAGTTGCTAAAAAATCGTGGACATTGGGATGCAGGAAGGGGGGGTATGGGGGAGTCCTGGAAAAGAGGTCTATGAAAAAATGTTATGAAATTATACGTGTTTGTATGTCTTTTTGGTTGTTTGTTTGTCTTTAAAAATTTGTAAAACCAATAAAAATTTTATAAAAAAAAAAGAGTTATAGGTCATTTTTTAATCTAAGTAATCAATCACTCGTGCTTCCTGAGAAGAATTCCAACCTGTAAGATTAATCTACTTTACAACCATCAAAAAATAAATTATCACCTTTGTGGTGTTTAATTGCCAGATAATTTGTCCAATTAACATTTATTTCCCTATTTCTATCATAATTAAAAGACTGAGGGTGCAGACCTGAAGCTTTTTAATTAAAAAGTGGTTTATGCAGTGTCAAGCTGATGAAACAATCCTTGTTCTGGGTTCCTTCCCGTCCCTCAGAAATATTCTCTTTTCCCCAGGACAAATGACAGGTGCCTCTTCAGAACATCTGAGGGCATGCTAATTCTGAGGGGGTGGGGATTAGATAGTCAGACTGACAATCTCTTATCACTCTTCACTAGCAGGGAACTAGCGGGGGAGCACCTCGGTCAGACATTCCTCAAACCAGAATCCCCTGCCCTCTTTTGGAGGGAGAGTTTCTCATCTACCCGCCACCCCCAATGAATTTTACTTACGGTACTTCTACATGTCCCAAATATGCAGATTCCTCTCTTTTGTTTGTTGAGGTGTGTGTGATTTGGATACAAAATAATTAGAATGGCCCATCCCAAGTTCAGCATTAGAGGGAAAGATGCATAATACATTCTCTCAGAGTTTCTGCCTAGTTAACATTTGTGTCTGAAATTCAGATGCTGACAGCAGATGTCCTTTTAGTTCCACTCAGCTACCAGGTAAACATCAGAATCTGCTCTACCTCTGTCCCCACTTTGAGTCCTGGTCTCTTCCTGCAGGAAAATGAGGTGATAAAATTTCAGGTGGCAGGATGGATTATGCCACTTCAGAATGAAGGTAGGGTATACCATTTATGAATGCTCCCTGATGTAAGACAAACAAAGCAATGCAAGTGATAAACCTCCCAATGCATCGTGGTTCTAGGCTTGCCCTCTCTCTGATACGCAGGTTTTGCACCAGTAGGAAGACTCATTTCTGTTTTTGCTTTGCAACATTTTCATGCTGTCTGTGTTTTCAAATACACCTCCATTTCTCCAATCTCTTCAACAACCTCCCGCAGTCTCTTTCATCTGATCATTCCTCAGAGAATAGATCAGAGGATTGAGGAAAGGTGTGATAGCAGTGTAGAAGAGTGTTGCTGCCTTTGTCACATCTGAGTGGCTTTCTCCACCTGGAGCAGCTAAGTATACTCCTGCCACAGAACCATAGAAAATACTCACCACTATTAGATGGAACGATACGGTGGAGAAAGCCTTCCTACGACTGCCTTGGTTAGAGGTTTTCATCAGTGTGAAAACCACAGTGCCATAGGACAACAGAATGCAAAATAAGTTGCCTAAAACCATAACATTCACAAAAACCTGGTGGATGAGAGGAGCATTTCCAAGTGGGGGGCAGGCAAGAGACAGGAGTGGCCCAGGATCACACAACAAATGGTTGATGGTGTTGGATCCACAGAAGGACATCCTGGAGATCACAGTTACTGGGACAATGTTCCACAGGAAGCCAAGGATCCAGCAAGCAGCCATCAGAGCACAGCTGGCATCCTGGGACATAATTTGTGGGTAGCGCAGTGGGTGGCATATGGCCAAGTACCTGTCCAATGCCATGGCTGAGAGGAATAAACATTCTGTTGCACCAAGAGAGAAAAAGATGTAGAACTGGAAGAAGCAAGCCTGGAAAGAGATCGTCCCATGAGGGGACACCAGATCAAAGAGCATGCGGGGTACAGTGGCACTCATGTAGCACATCTCCAGCCAGGAGAAGGTGCTTAGAAGGAGATACATGGGAAGTCGTGACAAGTGCGAGTCTAGAACCACCAGTGTGATAATGGTCAGATTCTCAGCCAAAGTGAGCACATAAAGAACAGTCAAAAAAAGGAGCAGCAGCAAACGCTTCACCTGTCCACCTCCAAATCCCAGCAAAACGAATTCTGTTACTTCAGTTTCATTGGCCAGTTCCATCGTCAATTGAATAATCTGGCTGGGCTTCACCAGCCACTCTAGGCAGCTCCCAAAAGAATATTAAAAACACAATAAAACATCAAACATTCAAAGCTTCCCTAAACAGGGCTGCCTTCAGACGTCTTCTAAAAGTTGCATAGTTCTTTATCTCCTTAACATCTGGTGGGAGAACATTCCACAGGGAGGGCACCACTGCTGAGAAGGCATTCTGCCTGGTTCCCTGTAACCTCACTTCTTGCAGTGAGGGAACCGCCAGAAGGCCCTTGGAGCTGGGCCTCAGTGTCCGGGCTAAATGATGGGGGTGGAGATGCTCCTTCAAGTATACTGGGCCGATGCCGGCGAGGGTTTTAAAGTTCAGCACCAACACTTGTGCTCGGAAACATACTGGGAGTCAATGAAGGTCTTTCAGGACCAGCGTTATATGGTCTTGGCAGCCACTCTGTCACCAGTCTAGCTGCCGCATTCTGGATTAGTTGTAGTTTCCAGGTCACCTTCAAAGATAGCCCCACGTAGAGCGCATTGCAGTAGTCCAAGCAGGAGATAACCAGAGTAAGCACCACTCTGGAAAGACAGTCTCACCCTAACAGAAAGATTTACATAACATGACAGAGAGATTTACATATACCAAAAGGAAGCAACATCTGCCTTCCTGCCTATCACAGCTGTGAGTCTTTGACTGTTTAAGAGTCATTCTTAACAAAGTACGACGCTGCTGCCTGGCGTGCAATGTAAAACTATGCATGCTTCTGCAAAACTAAGTCCTGCTGTATTGATTTGTGTCACTTCCAAGTAACAACTGATCCACACCCTACATAAAACATAATTAAACTGTGGAACTCACTCCCATAGCTGTCAACTTTTCCCTTTTCTTGCAAGGAATCCTATTCGGAATAAGGGAATTTCCCTTTTAAAAAGGGAAACGTTGACAGCTATGGTCACTCCTACAAAAGGCAATGATGGCCACCAAACTATACCCCTTTAAAAGAAAATTAGACCAATTAGTGGAGGACAAGGCTATCAACAAGGATATCCATTCTTAAGGAAATCAGCCCTGAGTGCTCAGTGGAAGGACAGATCCTGAAGCTGAGGCTCCAAAACTTTGGCCACCTCATGAGAAGAGAAGACGCCCTGGAAAAGACCCTGATGTTGGGAAAGATGGAGGGCACAAGGAGAAGGGGACGACAGAGGACGAGATGGTTGGACAGTGTTCTTGAAGCTACCAGCATGAGTTTGACCAAACTGTGGGAGGCAGTGGAAGACAGGAATGCCTGGCGTGCTCTGGTCCATGGGGTCACGAAGAGTTGGACACGACTAAACGACTAAACAACAACAAGGCTATCAACAGCTACCAGCCACAATAGCTGCATTCTACTTCCATTGTCAAAGGCATTATGACTGTGAATGCCGGTTTCTGGCAACTGCAGGTGGGCAGAGTGCTGGTGCACTCATGTCCAGCTTACAGGCTTCCCACAGGAGTCTTCTCAGCCACTGTGGGGAAATGGTGCTGCACCAGAGAGGCCATGGTCTTATCCAGCAGGCTTGTCTTGTGTTCTTATCCTTTTATGCTTGATAATAACATGTTCCCCTTGTACCCTGCACTCTTCTAAGCATCTTGGAAAAACGGTTTCAAAAATACACAGGTATGGAACAGCCTTTGCTTGGAAGCAAGCACAGATTATTACAGTAGGACTTATTTTGTTTCTCCACAGCACAATACAGAAACAGCTACCAAGTTTCCCATACTGGAACAAACTCATGAAAAACAAACAGTTGCAAAATAAGATCGGAGGAAGATCAAAGGAACAGTGAGTGAAGAGGTTTGCTATGCTGAATCAAATCCTTACTGGCCCAATCTGGCCAATGGCTGCATCTATTCAGATCCATCCTTCTAATATTCTTACCTCTTCCCCCATTTGACTTATTTGGCACCTCAGTAGCTTTCCATGTGAAGATCCACCACCCTGAAGGCATCTCATATATGTTGTGTCACAAACCAAGAGGAGTATGTTGTTCCACGTGTTTTACAGTGGGACTTGGCAAGAAGAATGAATGGGCCTGTGCACAGAACAAAGGTTGAATGCATCTGATATATATATATGGTGGCTCGTGGAAATGAGTCCTTCAAGAACAATGTCATTAGTATCCACCAAAACAACAGCTCTTTGGAGACTGATTGCCTCCCTCTGAAGCACTAGAGAGCCTCCTCGGGTAATTGGTGTTTTCCTGGGTTCTGCAAAGGGATTTATTAGAACAACCAAATGGATATAGTGTGTTATGGAGTCTCAAACTGATAGAGGCACTTGATTGACTTTTTTTTACAGTGGTACCTCAGGTTAAAGATGCTTCAGGTTACAGACGCTTCAGGTTACAGATTCCGCTAACCCAGAAATAGTACCTCGGGTTAAGAACTTTGCTTCAGGTTGAGAACAGAAATCGCACAACGGTGGCGCAGCAGCAGTGGGCTTGTGATCAGAAGGTCGGCAGTTCGAATCCATGTGACGGAGTGTGCTCCTGTTGCTTTGTCCCAGCTTCTGCCAACCTAGCTGTTTGAAAGCACTCCAGTGCAAGTAGATAAAAAGGTACCACTGTGGCATTTGCGTGTGTTCTGGCTTCCATCATGGTGTTCCATTGCACCAGAAGTGGTTTAGTCATGCTGGTCCCATGACCCAGAAAGCTGTGTGTAGACAAACGCCACCTCCCTCCGCCTGAAAAGCAAGATGAGTACCGTATCCCATAGTCGCCTTTGACTGGACTTAAATGTATAGGGGCTCATGCATAACAGGGGGCACTGGTAGGCCTGAGGAAGTATAAAACCTTTAGAAAACAAACAAAATGTTAAGGCACCCTCTGTAGGGTTTTGGTGGTTGTGTATATGTATATGTAGCAATATTAGAGTAATCAAGGTAAAGTATAATATGTGAATTAAAGTATGTGTCAGGTTGGGAGGTGGTGAACATGTGCTTGGAATAGTGAAAATGATAGGATAAGAGAAGAGTTTAGAGTTTAGAGTTTGGCAGTGGAGAGAAGTGAAAGAATGTGGTCAATAGGCATGAAATGTTGACCAGTTGTTGCAGTGGAATAGAGATAGGGAATGGGATAGACCATTCTTGTCCAAATTGTAAACATCTGATCATTATCTCTCTCATTGCAGGGCTGGATATCTTGGTTTGTTGTTTGTTTTTAATATTCCTTCTCTCCTTTTTCTTGCAAAAAGTCAATGTGTCTGTCAGGATGCTGTCAGTGGCTCCCAGCTGGTTGCCCAAGAAAGTATAAAGACAAGGAAAAGTTTCTTACCGTCCTTTTTTATTTAAATATTACAGAGAGAGGCTACATAATCCAGCCACTTGGACAATGGCATTGTCCACCCCCACCCCACCCCCGTCTCTCCCACTTCCTCATTTGTCACTTCTACTGGTGCTGCTAGGTGCTCTCTGTCTTTGAGCTCTTTGGTCTCCAACCTTAAAGGCTCGCCAGGTTATGGGAGATGAGGGGTCTGGAATGGTTTCTAAATACGCCATGTCAGCCAGCTGCCGTTACAGTCCTGTCTCCTCCTCTTCCATTATTTCCCAACTTTCCCCCTAATCTGCCTCTGGCGGGGTCAGGATACGGAGGCAGGCTCCACCATTCCTCCTCTACCCAGTCCCAGACATTATCCATGCTCACCCACACAAAAAAACCCAAGTTCACATTAAATCCATACCTTTTGTTAAGCTTCACATTGATCTCACAAAACAGCATGCAAGCTTTTGAGAGACAGAAGAGCAGTAGGTTGGGGTGGGTAGAGTGAAAGGTTGGCAGATGTTGGAGCCATAGAGAATTCCCTTAATCATAGTCCTAAAACGGCTAAGGATGGTTTTACACAATCAGCTTTCTCTTCACCAGTCCTATCTTCCTCCTCTGCAACCTGCCAACTGCCTCCTTCACCTGATTATTCCTCAAACAATAGATCAAAGGATTCAGAAATGGTGTAATTGCAGTAAAGAACAATGTTACTATTTTAGTAACATGTGTTTGACTTTCTCCACTTGGAACTACATACATCCCAGCCACCGTGCCATAGAAAAGGGTGACCACCACTAGGTGGAAGGATATGGTGGAGAAGGCTTTCATCCGACTGCCTCGTCTAGAAGACTTCATCAGTGTGAGAATCACAGCACCATAGGATAGCACAACAAAGAACAGGTTGCCTAGAACAATGAGACCATCCACAGAAAACTGGCAGATAATGGGAATATTTCCGACAGGAGGGCAAGCCAGTGAGAGAATTGGCCCTGGATCACACACGAAGTGGTCAATGATGGGGCGGCAGCCTGTCGCCCGAAGCACGGGGAGCCCTTCGGAGAGCTCCCCTTGCTTTGGGCGAGTGTCTGCAAGCCTCGCGCGCCCGGCAGGATGTCCCGCCGGGTGTGCGAGGCTTGGGGCGGCAGCCTGTCACCCGAAGCACGGGGAGCCCTTCGGAGGGCTTCCCCTGCTTCGGGCGAGTGTCAGCAAGCCTCGCGCACCCGGCAGGAGGTCCCGCCGGGTGCGCGAGGCTTGGGGCGGCAGCCTGTCACCCGAAGCACGGGGAGCCCTCCGGAGGGCTTCCCCTGCTTCGGGCGAGTGTCAGCAAGCCTCGCGCACCCGGCAGGAGGTCCCGCCGGGTGCGCGAGGCTTGGGGCGGCAGCCTGTCACCCGAAGCACGGGGAGCCCTCCGGAGGGCTTCCCCTGCTTCGGGCGAGTGTCAGCAAGCCTCGCGCACCCGGCAGGAGGTCCCGCTGGGTGCGCGAGGCTTGGGGCGGCAGCCTGTCACCCGAAGCACGGGGAGCCCTTCGGAGAGCTCCCCTTGCTTTGGGCGAGAAGTCTCTGCTGCCCCAGGCGATCTTAAAATGTTGGCGGGCGGAGCGAAGTGTTCGCTCCCGCCCCCCAGCATTTTAAAATCTCCCCGGGACAGCAGAGACTTCGCTCCCGCCCGCCAGCATTTTAAAATCGCCCCGGGACAGCAGGGGCTTTTAAAATGCTGG